GACACAAACCATCACCTTCAGCGAAGACGCTTGTATTGTCAGTTAAGGAGATTGGATATATTGGGGTCAAATTAAAGCTCTCACTGTCAAACTTATAAATTTAAAATATGAGCTGCTATTGGTATGCACCGACCGCGATATTATAGTTTTAAGGTGTTAACAGTGTATGTAGCATGGCTCAAACCTTCAGCAGGTTGTTTCATTGTTTTCTTGATAGTTGGATAGAGATGGTCGAGATACATTAGAAATATACATATGTTCCAGATTTAAATAAATGCGAAAACTTCGGATTTAAATCCGAGAGTTATGTGTACTTCAAAAAGTGAATCATACAAATCAATCATCCTAGACTATCTGGATATCAACATTATACTGTGAAATCTACCATTTAAAATGTTGATTTATATTGCGCGTTGCCGAACCAATAGGATATGGGACCGAATACAGCTCAAGTTTGAACTCTGCACCTTGATTTACTCTAAGAAAGTCGTTTTTCCTATAACTTCATTTCTATTGGTCACTGCACAACTAATAGTATTCCNTTAAATGTGTTATTTTGGCGGCGAGAGCTTTGAATTTGATTCGAATGTGTTTAACAATACTACTTGGTAACATAAACATGTCCATTGTTAGTGATTTTTTATTAAAGCAATGTCCATGTAAATAAAGAAAGATCTGTCTTATGAATCAAGGACAAAAGGTGATTAATACAAAAATCAAATGATGGATAACTTGCATGCAGAAATCATATCATCTTGATAGTACCGCTTTATATAAAAATAAAACTTTGACAAAAGGAAGAACTAAAAGTCATATGAGCTTTCTTTCCATTCTTACAATCTAAATGGTGAATTCTTTCTCTATGGTTGAGGTTTGCATCAATGCTTCAAAAGTATAGAGAAATAACTTTCTTCTTCGAGTGAAAATCGTAACATGTACAACAGTACAACAGTACAACACTGTTATCAACAGCTGAACTACTTATCTGTCATTTAGTAAATGGTTGTCCATATAGTATAAATCTAATAGTGAGATGTTATTTAGACTCCGAAAATCATAGGCTTTAGCTTTTGATTCACTATTGGATACTAAGCCAAGTTGGCTATAGTCTTGTCTGATATATACTTAATTTTACTGAAATTCTCTGAAACAGCGAGTAAAAGAGGCATCAATTGAGGTTCATCTTTTTTTATAAGGATTAAAAACACTTCAAAATCTTTAGCTTTCATGAAAAAAAAGAGCTAAAAGAAATATTTTTGAAGTAGTAAATCGATAAAATATCCATCTCCATCAGCATGTATAACTCCACCATAGAGACCGCAATCCAGCGGCTTCTGTGCCGGTCGCAAGTCCGGATAAAGGAGGAGCGTTTGACGGAAGGGGTGCAGATACCGCCGTCTGTAAAAAGAACAATACGACAGAAACCAACCATNTGGCCCCAACGGACGCTAAGCCTATGGGACATGATGATGATGATGATGATGATGATCAGCATGTATATTTTCTCAAACAGATTGCTATTAGGTTTAGTTTTAGAAATGATTAGTACAAAATTTAGAATCGTTCTGAGATGTTGTATATGCTTCCGTTCAGAAGCAGTCTCAGTAGAATATGGACTTCGCAGAATTCTCAACGCAGTTTTAATTTTAATGGCATAGTCATACTCAAGCTTTAATCACAGGATCAAGAAATATTTATGGCTCTGAATAAAAGTGAGCATTTGTGAAGAGGAACTATCATCGTTGGCCTTACTCGTGATGAAATTGAAGCGTAAGCTTAAGCTCAATCCTAATAATATGAAACGACTAAGATTATCATGTTACCCTATGATCCTTTTGTACAGAATAATAAATGAATTCAAAATTTTGAAGTTTTAAAGAAATGTATTATATTTAAAGGTGCTAAGAAGAGCAGTATTACTACTTATTTGCTTGCATGCAGGCGAAATCAAAGCCTTTCAATACACATAATCTTTCACAAAGTTCACCAAGGCGATCAGCTCACATTTGAACTATTCAACATCTGGTGTGTTTTCAAAATTTGTGTGAAATACTAGTCTAAACTATCTCGATCACTTTTCCTCTTTATTACCTATATCGGTTGATTAGGAATAAAGATTATTGTTCAAGTTTTATGCCTTCCTATTGTGTATGAAAAATGTCTGTGGAAATGGAAATGTTACATCTTCGAATGGAATTTTAGTAAGGATGTCAGAATTTGTATTCAAAATAAAGAGAATATTTTTGTCAGAATTTAACGAATTGGTTTTTTTGATATGGTAATATAAGTTTCTATACGAAAGAAAGATGCAGCAATAGAGAGTGAAACTTACAATAAACATGGCAGCTGACCTGAAGAAGCGTAATCTCTCGTGTTAGATAAAAGAAGACCTTACATGAAAATGGAAAGAAAATGAGAGTTACTGTGTTCAGCAAACAAGACTATTATCGATCAGATATCTATGATGAGACTTAGAGCAACATTTTTTTGTTAAAATGGAACAACATTCTTATCTTGTGCAGAAAAAAGTCACCAGGTTTATAAAACAAGTATTATTTTTATATAAACTATCTAATGAATCTCGATCTGAAGTACAGAACCAAAAACATAATTAGGTCTCTACTGCTTACGATAATATTAATGCGGATGGGTCATATCTGTTAAAGAAAATCATGTCCTTCATTATTTCAAAAAAATTGAAGAACAAGAATTTTGTGATGCTCCAAATATCGAAAGAAATGATCTTATGCAACAATTTTCCGGTTTCCATGAATGGGCTATCGAAAATAATTACCAGAACAGAGCTTATAGGAGCTAGTATCGCATATCTGTGAGTTATATTTTCATTATACCAACTAAAGCCTTGATCCTACTGCGTTAAACTTCCTAATCTTCTTGTTCTATTTATTATATGCATTTCATTGTCAATATGAGAACAAGAAATGTACTGTGATTGATTTCTTCGTACTACTAAAAATGTGTTGAACGAGAAAATAAAGCACTTTAAATTAAATCCGAATCAGACAGCAAATTAAGAAATCGAGATTGGCGATATCTATGGATGTCAACGAACCGCAGATGCGTGCTGTTCGTCAAGGTTCCTTTTAGTAAATGTCAACAGCAAATAGAAAGGTACGACCTCTTTATAAAATAGTCATCTCTGACAATAAAATAAATATTTCTCTTTACATGAGCACGTGTTCTTGAGCAGCAATTCTCAAAAGAGAGTCTAGTAGGCGATAAGAGGCGAAGGTTAAAAGTCATGTTTAGTGAACGGTCAAGTGAATCGTGATCACGAGCACTATTTGCATTGAATATTCATATAAAGCTTAAAATTAAATGTCAAGTTTAACATTTTCCTGCCTAATACTTTATTCAGTTGAAATTAAGCAAAGAAGTGATACACTTGAGGCGAATATCATTTAATTTCACTTTTTTTCATCCAAAAAAGCTATTTTAAGAAAACAATTGTTTTTTTATAAAGTTTGACGAAACGCAAGCATGGTCGAACAATTTTAGTCTGTAATAGGTTTCGCAGCGTTCATATCTTTGATTTCTCAGTAGGCTGACAGTATTTCAGAGAAATAATGAGTTTTATCAAAGAGAAATCAAGACCACGAATAATTAAAAGCTAATTAAGGATTTGGATTCATCAAGCCTGAATATCTTTTTTGAAACTTTACAAAAGGATGGTTATTATTGTAGAAAGTGTTTCCTGAATGAAAAATATCAAGTTCGAATTTTCTAGAAGTCGATTACAGATTTAAATTTGTCGCCTTCTATTGTCTTCATTGAAACGTTAAGATTATACCACTACATGCAACTATATGACTAGATAGTTGGATGGAAACATGAAAACATAGTCACAAATTCATTCTATATTATATGACTCTCTCTGCAGTGGAAGGATTAAGTCATATAAGAACACGTATAAAATGAGACTGAACAAGTTCTCAAGCAGAGATCTATTAGAACACGCAGATTTCCTTTAATTGGAGTCTTTAGAAATCTTTAGAAATCTTTGAAAATTTTGGGAATCTTGAAATCTTGAAATCTGCTTTTCCCCCTTGCCCACACTCCACAACCACACACCCACACCCACACGCACACCCACACCCTATTTTTATTTAAAATAACGAATATTTATGTTGTAAGAAAAATATATTTTTTTCGTGTAAATTTAAAATTTGAATCCTAAAATTTTTAAGTTTTTCTATTAGTATTCAGAAAATTTAAAATTTTTCTGAATAACAGTTTTTTATTGCAAATGTATATTAATTTAGGTATCAAATTCATAATTATTTAACTAATGTCTTGGATTTCATGCACAAGATGCACGCAATAAGAAGGCGCCATCTTTTAATATAAATGTGTATCATATTTACTTAATTAGTCACGAATCAGATTATTCGGTCTAAAATTCGGCCTTTTATTATTACCCCTCTTTTCGATGACATAATCGTATAAGTATATTATAGAAATCCATGCATGAATAATATCGATGTCATAGTTAATGAAGTGGCCCCGAACAGATTGACTAATTCAAAGTGAATTAAGAAACACGATTGGTCTTTTTGCATGGCAACGCGAAGAGTATTGGTTAATTCAGTTTTATTGTATTCAGTCTGTTCGGGGCCAAAGTCATTATGATTCATGCTTTATATTCTTTATTTCCTATTTATTGGATATGTCAGCGTTAGTATGTAAATATTGTCAATTTTTTTTCCCATTACCTTTGACATCATATAGTTATTTTTGGCTATATGCTAGACTATTTAAGGGTCATAATGTTAATCGTCGAATATCAAATTTAAACAATTACTTTTTAATTCTTCTAGATTTTATTTCGTTAACTGAAAATTAATATTAAAAATATGATTATTGAAAAATTTCTTTTTCCTGCACCAAATCCATCTAATTACACATTAACATCACATGATGATCATTTAATTTGGTTACCAACTTGACATGGTTCATTTGACATACCAAAAATTCCATGTATGATTTATTCTCCACCTCGTCAAGCGAATTTTTTTATGATATTCTCTCATGGAAATGGTTGTGATATTGGTACTATGGATACATTCATGAAAATTTTATCTGACGAACTTAATACTCATATACTTATTTTTGAATATCCTTCCTATGGATTATGTCAAGGATCAGTCGATATAAATAAAACAACAGTTAATAATCATGCTGAACGTGCGTATTCATTTGTTCATGAAACACTTCATTGGCCAACTGATAAAATTCTTATGTATGGTCATTCAATTGGAACTGGACCAGCATGTCATATTGCATCAACAAAACCTATTGGTGGACTTATTCTTCAATCACCATATACATCAATTCAAAATGTTATTACAGGACTAATTGGTTTTCCAGGATATTTATTTGGTAATTCATATTGGAATAATCTTGAAACAATGAAATATATTAATTGTCCAACATTATTTATACATGGTGAACGTGATGGTTTAATTCCATCAGAACATTCAAAAACATTATATAATTCATTAGGTCATATTGAAAACAAACAAATAATCTTACTTCCAGATGATGATCATAATTCGATATCATATACAATGTCTTCATCATGTGTAAAATCATTTCTCAAACAATTTTTTCCACCGTCAAATCAATTATTACCTGAAATAAATATAGATCCTGAATTCCGAGTACCACCAGAAACAATACAAACTTCATCATCTATATTCTCCTATAATCCATTCACATCTCTATTCAATCTTTCCACAGTATCAATCAATGCTACACAATCTGTATACAATTCTATGTTTTCAAATCAATACAACAATCAATAAATTTCTATTTTGCATCAACATAAACAAAAACAAACATTTCTGTAATTGGTCGTTATCAAATATATCTTAAATATTTTTGTACAGTAGTTCAATATCTTGCAATACTTTTATCAAATTCTTGTTTATAGAATTTTGATGATAATATATAAATAATAAATGTAATCATTGGTGGAATAAATGAAATAAAATATTCAAGAACCATCTCTTTTTTTTGGAGTCAAAGCCTTTTTATTAAGATGTTACGAGGAAAAAACAAAAATATAATACAGAAGGCTGGAGAGGAACGGCGAGCCGCTTGACGAATGTCGTATGTCTCGTGAAAAGAGCTGAAAAGTTGGAAGTTGTAATAATGGTATATATGTTGCAAAGTTAAAGTCGACGAATCCGATATAACAATTGTTGCATGTATTCGGANAAAAAAAGGGTTTCGTAAGAAAATACGAAGCCTTGAGGGTTCAGTACAAAACCATTGACCTTTGCACGAAACCCTAATGGTTTTGTACTGAACCCTCAAGGTTTCGTATTTTCTCACGAAAACCTTTTTTTGCTGTACAGAACTTAAAAAAGGTTTCGTAAGAGATGGTTCTGCTAGTGGGTACTCCGCAGAACCTCCAAAAGGTTCTGTCGAATTTTTTATCCTTTTTTTGAGACTTTGGACACATTTGGATGCTTTTACAAATCTACAGAACCTTTTCGGGGGGTTCTGCAAAACTCCTTTTTTTTTCGAGAGTAGTTTGGTAGAGCTTTACCGGCATTCGGAAACCTTTTCTTTGGGTTTCCGAAGAGGTATTGGAGGTTTAGCTATAATGGGTACTATGAGTTTCCGAGACCTCGGAAACCCTTCTTCGGAAACCCTTAAAGGGTTTCCTATAGTAACAAACTAGGAAACCCTCTAAGGGTTTTCGAGAATACCTATTTTTTTTAGAGTGTAGCATGTTCCAAGCTCAAACTTTCACCAGATTGTTTCATTGCTTTCTTGATAGTGGGATACAGATGGTCCACACTCTAAAAAAAATAGGTTTTTTACGAAACCCTCAGAAAAGGTTCCGTAGATGTGAAAACGTTTCAGAATGTGTCAAAACGTTTAAAAATCGCATCTTCAATTCTACCGAACCTATAAAGGTTCTTCCCGCGGGTACACGGGAAGAACCTTTTTTTGAAAAACCTTTTTTTTCGCTACGGAACTTAAAAATTGGTTTCGTCGCTAAATGCGGAACCTTTTGGGTTTTACACGAAACCATCTATGGTTTCGCAGTAAACTCTACAACATTTCGGTTTTATAAGGATCCATCGAAGGTTTCGTGTGAAACCCGAAAGGTTCCGCATTTTATGACGAAACCAATTTTTAAGTTCCGTAGCGAAAAAAAAGGTTTTTCAGAAAAAGGTTCTTCCCGTGTACCGGCGGGAAGAACCTTTAAAGGTTCGGTAGAATTGAAGATGCGTTTTTTAAATGTTTTGGCACATTCTGAAACGTTTTCACATCTACGGAACCTTTTCTGAGGGTTTAGTAAAAAACCTATTTTTTTTAGAGTGCAGATACATTAGAAATATACATATGTTCCATATTTAAAAAAGAGATTGTAAAACGTCTTAGACAAAAAATCCATGTTAGCATCAATTCCATATATAAGGAAAAATAGATCCAAAATTCTCACTTTGGTATATTTTTTTAAATCTTTTTCAAAAATATGAAATTAATATTTTATGATATAATTCGAAAAGTTTCATTCAACCATCAAGAAAACAGAATAAAAGATTCTGCTGAAATCTTGAGTTTTGGTCATCCTAGAAACATTGTAAACACCTGAAAAACTTGAACATCTTGGTTAGTACATACCAAAAACAGCCTATATTTTTCATGTGTTACTTCGACGGTGATAGCTTTGAATTTGATCCGAATGTGTTTAACTATACTACTTGCTAACATAAACACGTCCATTGTTAGTGAATTTTTATTAAGGCAATGCCCATGTAAATAAAGAAAGATCTGTGTCTTATGAATAAAGGACAAAAGGTGATTAATACGAAAAGCAAATGATGGATAACTTGCATGCAGACATTATATCATCGTGATAGTGCCGTTTTATATAAAAATAGAACTTTGACAAAAGGAAGAACTAAGAGTCATCTGAGCTTTCTTTCCATGCTTACAACCTAAATGCCGAATCATTTCTATATGGTTGAGATGTGTATCAAAGCTTCAAAAGTATAGATAAATAACTCTTTTCTTCGAGTGAAAATCGTAACATGTACAACAGTACAACACTGTTATCAACAGCCGAACTACTTATCTGTCATTTAGTACACGGTAGTCCAAATAGTATAAATCTAATAGTGAGATGTTATTTAGACTTCGAAAATTATGGGCTTTAGCTTTCGATTCATTATTGGGTCCTAAGCCTAGTTGGCTATAGTCTTGCCTGAAATATATTTATTTTTTACTGAAATTCTCTGAAACGGCGAGTAAAAGAGGCATCAATTGAGGTTTATCCTTTTTTATATGGATTAAAAACACTTCAAAATCTTTATCTTTCATGAAAAAAAGAGCTAAAGGAAATATTTTTGAAGTAGTAAATCGATAAAATCTCCATCTCCATCAGCATGTATATTTTCTCAAGCAAATTGTTATTAGGTTTAATTTTCGAAATGATTAGTACAAAATTTAGAATCGGTCTGAGATGTTGCATATGCTTCCGTTCAGAAGCCGTCTCAGTAAAATATGGACTTCGCAGAATTCCCAACGTAGTTTTAATTTTAATGACGTAGACATACTCAAGCTTTAATCACAGGATCAAGAAATATTTATGGCTCTGGATAAAAGTGAGCATTTATGAAGAGGAACTATAATCGTTGGACTTACTCGTGATGAGATTGAACCGTCAACTTAAACTCAATCCTAATAATATGAAACGACTAAGATTGCCATGTTACTCTATGATCCTTTTGTACAGAATAATAAATGAATTCAAAATTTTGAAGTTTTAAAGAAATGTATTATATTTAAACGTGGTAAGAAGAGCAGTATTTTGCTTGCATGCAGGCGAAATCAAAGTCTTTCAATACACACAATCTTTCACAAAGTTCACCAAGGGGCTCAGCTCACATTTGAAATATTCAACATTTGGTGTGTTTTCAAAAGTTGTGTGGAATACTAGTCCAAACTACCTCGATCACTTTTCCTCTTTATTACCTATATCGGTTGATTAGGAATAAAGATTTTTGTTCAAGTTTTATGCCTTCCTATTGTGTATGAAAAATGCCTGTGGAAATGGATATGTTACATCTTTGAATGGAATTTTAGTAAGGATGTCACAATTTGTATTCAAAATAAAAAGAACATTTTTGTCAGAATTTCACGAGTTAGGTTTTGTTACATGGTAATATAAGTTTTCATACGGCAGAAAGATACAGAAATAGAGAGTCAAACTTAGAATAAACATGGCAGTTGTTCTGAAGTATAATCTCTCGTGTTAGATAAAAGAAGACCTTGCATGAAAATGGAAGTTGCTGTGTACAGCAAATCAGAAGATTATTAATCAAATACCAATACCGAGATTTACAGGAACATTCCTTTGTTAAAGTGAAGCAAAATCCTTATCTGATTTAGAAAAAAGTCAGCAGGTTCATAGAATAAGTTTTATTTTTACATAAACTATTTAATGAATCCCGATCTGAAGTATCAAACCAAGAACATAATTAGATCTCTACTGCTTACGACAAAATTAATGCGAATAAGTCATATCTATTAAAGAAAATCATGTCCTTCATTGTTTCAGAGAAACGGAAGAACAAGAATTTCACGATGCTTCAAATATCGAAAGAAAAAGATATTATGCAACAATTTTCCGATTTCTATGAGTGGGCTATCGAAAAAAATTGTCAGAATAGAGTTTACAAGAGCTAGTATCGCATACTTGTGAGTTATATTTCCATTATATCGACTAAAACATCGATCCTACGGCGTTAAACTTCGTAGTCTTCTTATTCTATTTATTATATGCATTTAATGGTCAATATGAGAATACGAAGTGTATTTTGATTGATTTCTTCGTACTACTACAAATGTGTTGAACAAGAAAATTAAGCACTCTAAATTAAATTTGGATCATACAGCAAATTCAGGAGTCGAGATTGGCGACGCCTAGGTATGTTGTCGAACAGCAGATGCTGCTGTTCGCCAATGTTGATATTAGTAAATGTCAACAGAAAATAGAAAGGTACGGTCTCTTTACAAAATGGTCGTCTCTGGCAATAAAATAAACATTTCCTTTTACATGAGCACGTGTTCTTGACTAGCAGTTTTCAAGAGAGTCTTTTAGGTGGTAAGAGGCGAAGATTAAGTCAAGTTTAGTGGACGGTCAAGCGAATTGTGGTAACGAGTACCATTTGTATTGAATATTAATATAAAGCTGAAAATTAAATATCAAGTTTAACATTTTCCCATCTAATACTTTATTCAGTTAAAATTATGTGAAGAAGTGATAGGCTTCAGGTGAATACCATTTAATTTCATTTTTTTCATCAAAAAAGCTATTTTAAGAAAATAACGGCTTTTCATAAAGTTTAAAGAAACGCAAGTATGGTCGAACAATTGCAGTCTGTAATAGGTTTCGCGACATTCATATCTTTGATTACTCAGCAGGCGAACAGTATTTCAGAAAAACAGTGCGCTTTATCAANATGGTATACTTTACTTTTAAAATAATGTGCTTGGCGATAGAAAAAAGAGACACAAACATCGGACACTTATGAGACATCCGTCAGCTTTGAAAGTTGGGTACTTTTAATGTGTCGGATAATCCTTGTTTAATTTTTGTCTTTAACTTTCTACACAAATAAGTTTGATTATGATTTTACAGAGAATTTCACGGCGCATCTTTTGAAAAAACAATTAGCTCTAAAGAACAAAAAGAAAAAAAGTTATAGTCAAAATACTGAGAGGGCCATTTAATCTGACTCACCCGTTACAATCGTTGGACTTACTTGTGATGAGATTGAACCGTAAACTTAAACTCAATCCTAATAATATGAAACGACTCACATTACCATGTTACTCTATGATCCTTTTGTACAGAATAATAAATGAATTCAAAATTTTGAAGTTTTAAAGAAATGTGTTATATTTAAAGGTGCTCAGAAGAGCAGTATTACTACTTATTTGCTTGCATGTGACCGAAATCGAAGTCTTTCAATCTATACAATCTTTCAGAAAGTTCACCAGAGAGCCAAGTTCATATTTGAGCTATTCAACATCTAGTGTGTTTTCATAATTTGTATGACCTACTAATCCAAATTATCTTCATCAGTTTTCCTCTTTATTACCTATAGCGATTGATTCGGAATACAGACTTTTGTTCAAGTTTTATACCTTCCTATTGTGTATGAAAAATGACTGTAGAAATGGATACGCTACATCTTTGAATGGAATTTTAGTAAGGATACCGAAATTTTTATTCAAAATAAAAAGAACATTTTTGTCCGAATTTAACGAGTTAAGTTTTGTTATATGGTAATATAAGTTTTATACGAAAGAAAGATACAGAAATAGAGAGTCAAACTTAGAATAAACATGGCAGTTGATCCGAAATACAATCTCTCGTGTTAGATAAAAGAAGACCTTGCATGAAAATGGAAGTTGCTGTATACAGCAAACCGGAAGATTATTAATCAGATACCTATAACGAGATTTAGAGTAACATTCCTTTGCTCAAATGGAGCAACATCCTTATCTGATTTAGAAAAAAGTCAGCAGGTTCATAGAATAAGTTTTGTTTTCACATAAAGTATTTAATGAATCCCGATATGACGTACAGAACCAAGAACATAATTAGGTCTCTGCTGCTTACGACAAAATTGATGCGAATAAGTCATATCTATTAAAGAAAATCATGTCCTTCATTGTTTCAGAGAAACTGAAGAATAAGAATTTCACGATGCTGCAAATATCGAAAGAAAAAGATATTATACAACAAATTCCCGATTTCCATGAGTGGGCTATCGAAAAAAAATTGTCAGAATAGAGCTTACAAGAACTAGTATCGCATACTTGTGAGTTATATTTCCATTATACCGACTAAAACGTCGATCCTACGGCGTTAAACTTCGTAGTCTTCTTATTCTATTTATTATATGCATTTAATGGTCAATATGAGAATACGAAGTACATTTTGACTGATTTCTTCGAACTACTAAAAATATGTTGAACAAGAGAATGAAGCACTCTAAATTAAATCTGATTCATACAGCAAATTAAGGAGTCAAGATTGGCGACCCCTAGATATGTTGGCGAACAGCAGATGCTCCTGTTCGTCAAGGTTGATTTTAGTAAATATCAACAGAAAATAGAAAGGTACAGTCTCTTTACAAAATGGTCGTCTCTGGCAATAAAATAAACATTTCGTTTCACATGAGCACGTGTTCTTGAGCAGCAGTTGTCAAAAGAGAGTCTTGTAGGTGGTAAGAGGCGAAGGTTAAGTCAAGTTTAGTGGACGGTGAAGTGAATTGTGATAACGAGTACCATTTGTATTGAATGTTAATATAAAGCTCAAAATTAAATATCAAGTTTAACATTTTCCCATCTAATACTTTATTCAGTTAAAATGATGTGAAGAAGTGATAGGCTTAAGACGAATACCATTTACTTTCAGTTTTTTCATAAAAAAAAGCTATTTAAAAAAACAACAGCTTTTTATAAAGTTTGAAGAAACGCAAGTATGGTCGAACAATTGCAGTCTGTAATAGGTTTCGTGACATTCATACCTTTGATTACTCAACAGGCGAACAGTATTTGAGAGATACAATGCGCTTTATCAAAGAGAAATCAGGACCACGAATAGTTATTAACTAATTAAGGATTTGGATTCCTCAAGCCTGACTATCTTTTTGGAAACTTTACGAAAGAATGGTTATTAGTGTAGAAAGTGTTTCTTGAATGAAAAATATCAAGTTCGAATTTTCTAGAAACCGATTACAAATTTAGATTTGTCGCCTTTGATTGTCTTCATTGAAATGTTAAGATTATACCAACACATGCAACTATGTGACTTGATAGTTAAATGGAAACATGAAAACATAGTCACAAACTCATTCTATCTTATACGACTCTCTCTGTAGTGAAGGGACTAAGTCATATAGAAACACGTATAAAATGAGACTGAACAAGTTCTCAAGTAGAGATCTATTAGATCACGCAGATATTCTTTTATTGGAGTCTTTTGAACTCTTTAGAAATCTCTAGAAATCTTTGGAAATCTGCTTTTTCCCCCTTGCCACACCCACACTCTCAAGATAGAATTAATTCAAGGGGAACGAAAATATTTTTTTTAATGAAAGAATCCATAGAGAAACACAAAATCCAAGACAACATACTTGTGCATTATCTTTAATCAATAGTTACATAACCTCAAAAGTACCTTTTTACTAAATATATTCTGCCAAAAAAAACTTTTTTTTTCGATTTTTAAATAAATTACTCTAAGGAATCGGTTGTTCGTCTTTCAAATAGAGTCTTGAATTCGTCTCAAGCAGAAAGTAGAGGATAAAAAAATAACATGTTGTAAGATAGAAGCAATGGATTCTGGGCAGTTAAGAGAAGAACATTAGAAAGAAAAGGCTACCAATAGTTTGAACTTCGTTTCTTTGCAATTTTATTTACGAGAATAGATGAGAACACTTTCGTAGAAAACGCACGATCAGAAACGTGTTGTGAAATAGTGGACATCCTCTTTTAAAGAAGGAAAGCGTATTTGACCTTTCCATTCTGGAACGTATTTCCCTTCTACTGGAACATTTTCTTGTTTTGAAAACAAAGAATTTTTAATTTTATGCAACTCATTTTTACCCGTTTATTCAATGAATATTTTTCATTGGGCTTTCGTCTCTTACAATTAGCTGGAAACTAACAGTTTAAATGTATTCTACTTCAACGTATTATAATATTCAATTGTTGAATAATAAATTTAAAATGAAGAAAAAAAAAAGAATGAATATTTAATATTCACTTTTGATTAACTTCATATTATAAAATAATCTAAATTACAAGATAAGATAAAATAAATAATTTATAATTACTATGCTTTGCACGATATGGCTTCTATCCTCACTGTAAACACATTTAAGATGTTGTCTAATAATCACAAAAAGCAGAATCAGATACTTTAATACATATCAAATTTCGTTGATATCGTCGATGTCCTTCTGTTGAATACCATTAGATCCCATCGATGGAAGCCGATGATATCAAACAGTTGAAAATTGTTGTGAATTAAAGGATATGTATTGTTTCTCATAGTCCGATCTCATCAGTTGCTGCCTGTCACATAATTCAGGGACTTTAGTAGTTTCTAATGAGTCACTTCGATCTGATTAAGAAGATTTATTAAATAGTACCTAAAATTAAATAGCTATCCACTTCGACATATACATAATAGATATGTAGCTGATGATTTATTAAAATTCATTACCTCAATAAAAATTCTCTTATCCACAAAATTTATTTTGTTAATAATATAGTTACAGATTCTTTCACGTATATATTTAAGAAACTATTTTCTCTTTAATCAATATTATAAATATGAACAATTCAAATTCATCTTATCCTAATTTTTCATCTTTGGATTTATATTATATCTCAGTTTCATCGAATATTTTTCTCTATGGATATATAATTATGATGATTATCGGATTTACTGGTAATATTTGTCAAATCATAACATTTTCACGTAAAAAAATGAGAAACGTCAGTACCGGTGTGCTGTTTCTTGCATTGAGTATATCCTATACAGTTTATCTTTTACTAACATTGTACTTTTTAATAACTTATGGTTTTCATATTCCTGATCAATCAAATTATCCTAAAACATGTCAATTTCGACATTATATTCATTATCTTTCAAAAAACTTTAGTGCATGGATGCTTACTACAAGTAATTCCTTATAAATTCAAAATAAATAACATATTTTTGTTTCTCTATTATAGTTTCATGTGATCGTTGGATACGTTCACAATTTCCAATAAAATCTAGACGATTTTGTACACGACGAACAGCTATTTATTCAATTATAATTGCATTTATCATTGATCGTATTTTACATATTCATATTATTACACCAATGTTTGGTCAAGTAGCACCTGAAATAAAAACAAATTGTGGTGCTGATAGTCGTTATCCAAATTATTCATATTTTTATAAGAATATTTGGTCAATAATTACTATTCTTACTGCTATTATTATTCCAGCCAGTTTTATGATATTTTTTCTTATAGGTGTTTGATTTTATAACAGTATCAAATTATACATTAAGTTTTTGTTTTCATTGTTTAACATCAAAATTATTTCGAAAAGAATTTTTTAAATGTATCCTGTGTTCTATTTCAATAAATCATGCTGCTTAATGTACGTGTTACTCAACAACATCTATCTCATCAATAACATGGACTTGTTACACAATTAATGAGACATAGACCAAATACTAATGAAGTCGACAAGAAATTTGTGCCATCTATTTGAAGTTCTATTTGTTTGGATATCAAATATTATTTAAAAGTTTATGTTGGAATTTTTTTTCGTTTTATTTCAAAATTATTCATGAAGGCATCAGACTTCGAATCGCTAAATAATAAAGAGAATGTTATTTGACTATCATATACATATATATATTGTCCTAAATGATGTAAAATTTTTGATGTTGTGTTGAGAATCGATAATAACAGGACTAAAGAATCATAATAAACTATGTGATTTATTAATTACAAAACGTATTAATTTATTGCTAAAATCTTCAAACAATTGAATAGTTAAATAACGAAATTTTCATCTGAAACTTTCAATGAAAATTCTAAAGGTTATTAGAGGTATCAGTGTGCGAAAGATCAGATTCAAATTCCTTTATCTGAGTTTCTAGTAAATACTTGAAAATAAGTACAAAAACCAGTAAGACGATCATAATTCGGGTCCAAAAGTTGGTGAGACTAATTTTTTTTTTAAATTTCTTCGTCCTGTCGAGATTTTCTTGTGGATTCGATATAATCTCAAACGATAGGTTACAATGTTATTAGTTCTATTGTGAGTGTAGTTTTTCATTTCAGATGAATGCCAATGAGCCGATTCTGATTGGAACGCACTAAAAATAGATGAAGGTTGGGAGAAGTACTCAACGTCGAATAATCTCCGGATTTCCTCTGTGACTTCCAGTCAACTTCCTATAATTTCCGAAAGAAAATGACCAGAAGTCGCCTGAAAATCCGTAGGTGTTACAATCTAGAATACTGCCTCCACATTCTATTGATTTCCAATGTCGTCTCATTGACAACGTTGACCTTTTTCGCATTCTTTTGATCAGTTCTGGCAAAATTCACTTTGGTTCAAACATCAGAATCATTGAACTGAGTCTATATATTTTTAATATTGGATTGAACATCCTATTCGACAGTGAAGAATTTAGATGGAAAGGACACTGAAAGCGGTCGCTTCTTCTTTTCGAACTATTTTTTTGTTTTTATCAGCAGAAAACGCCCAATAATGAGACAATTCGGCGTCTAATTGAACATCAAAACATATTGTGTGACTATGATCGCCCCTCCCGTTTCCGTTGGAGCGCCTTTATTTGTCAAAGCCTAGAACCGTCGCTCGTGTTCAAACGTCAGATTGTCAGCCAAATATCCTGTCTAATGTTATTATGAACAACATAATTATAAAGAAACGATACTAGCCCTCTTTTATACGACTGCTAGATGAGTTAACTTTAGATGACAGTTCCATGATTAATAAAAAACAAAATTAATTATTCAGTTGTTCAATCTGACTGCTATTTGACAATCTTGAGGGTGTGGTTATGAATAATTATTTCCATTACTTTTTGTTTTATATGAAATCGGTAAATTGTTAATCAGCTATTAAATAATACTTTAGCTGAATTTTTCTATTCAATTATTTCCACATAGTGAAATCTGATAGGTCACTTCAATTAACTCGTGACAATTACAGTCAAAAAAAATTATTATTTACTATTCAGTGTAAAAATTAATTTTTAATAATCTATTAAATTCTACTCAAATATTTCAATGCAAAAGGCTTCATAAATAATCTATAAGATTCTGATAAGATTTTTTTTTCATATGAAAAAGTTTTGTCTATTGCATACACAGATAGTTGATTGAAATACATACTTTTGTAAAACACGATTACTGATATCATGTGATAAAAGATGATTCAAATTGCATTGAAATAATGAAAAACTATGAACATTTTATTAATTACGATTAAGCAATTTACATGGTCTATTTTTTGTAAAAACACAAAAGTATTCTTATCATGTTTGAGTCAATAAAGCCTATCGGGAAAAGAATTGATTCTCTTTCCAATACATCTAACTTAAGGATAACTACAAAGCCTAAAAAAAATGAAACTCGGATTGTGTATTTACTGCTTCATAATATAAAACACTATCTCAAAGCATTAATTATTAGACTATTCAGATATTTGGTTGCCAAAAGCTTATTGAGTCTACCTGCATACTGCTGAAAAAATCTGGCTTACACATCTATAACAATAGCTCGATACTTAAAATCTCGAAAATCAACCTAACGTTTTTGACATTTTGTTAGTAGTAATAGAAAATAGATTTTCTATTGCAGATATAAGTTTTTTAACAGTATAACTATTGAGTTAGTTATAAGAACACTTTCAGTTTGATAATATCATCTGATGAGGTCGACTGTCAACAAAATTTTATTACATAGCCTCTATAGATAATGATCAGTTAGCAGCTGTGAATCTACGTTTTTGTGGCTTGGATCCAGACTCGAGATTTTTCTTTCCAATATCTGGTACCCTCTGCGCACATAAACAAGTGGTGGATGAAAGTTTTAGCTACTGATTGTCTACTCTCACAGAAAAAAACGTCAATATACAGTTATATCTTGTTGTTTATTTTCCTTTCATTCGATGCTTAATAAATTAAAAGGTTTCTCTAAATTGAAAAGAATATTATGTTAACAGCAAAAAGGAACTCGTACAGTTAATTAAGGAACAATATTTGACATTGAAAATTCTGAATAAATTGATATGATAAAAGCAAGAAGGTAAATAAGATAGACCATCGATCGACCGGTAACCGCTGTTACCAGTTCAATCTCTAATTTAGTTCAAAATAATTCATGTAGACTCAATAAGTTTTTGACAAAAAAATATCCAGATAGTCTAAAATTCATGCTTCGAGATAGTGTGCTATGCTGCAAAACAGTAAATAAACATTCCGAATTTCATTTTTATTAGTCATTCTGGCCATTCTCAAGCTTTGCATTGGAAAGAAAATCAGAATTTTGTTTTTAATATTCAATTTCTTGTAGAACTTGTCGAATTTTACTGAAGCAATAGTTCAATTAACTTCACTGACTCATACATTATGAGAATACTTTTATTTTTCCAAAAAAAAACACAATTTGAATCATCTTTTGTTTTAGATGATACCTGTAATCCTGTTTTACATAACTGCATATTTCAATCAACTATCTCTATATGAATTTCATATAGATAATTATTCAAGAACGCATTGTAAATCTGAGCGATGACCAAGATTAAACGAGTTTGAGATGACCAGATTTTAAAACTCATCATCTTGGACTTCATAAAATAGATATTAATAATTTGTTTCAATAGAAGAAATGATAGAGATAGTTGAACTGAGATTCCAGTCATGCATTCAAAATATTTTACATCTTCGCTTGAAGATATATGTCACAATGAGCACCTTCTGTTACAATTTAATGCTTTAGACAATTGGTAGCAATTTGCAGCACATGCGACACAATATCTATATTATTGTGACTTAAAGCAATAAAACATAACTATTAATAAAAAGCAAAATGAGACTATACTATTAATAAAGTGCATTGTTAGTACTATTTCTCGAAACTTTTGAACAATTAAAATTGAGATCAACGCAAAATAAAATAATACATTTAATATAAATGCTCAGATGTTTAATAACATTCTTCTATTAATAATTATAATTCTATATGATTTTAGCTATAAATCTTTTTAATTCTATTAAAACTAATATATATATATAATTCAATAAACAAATCGATAGAATAATATTTATTCATTTGAAGAATAAATGACTATTTAAAAGAATAGAAATCTATTTTCATATTTTTTGTATATTGTTGTCTTTTCATATAGAAAATTATTTATTTTGACAGACACGCCCTCATTTTTATATATTTATAAAGCAAATAATAAGTCTTATAATCTTAAAAAATAATTCACTATGCATCTATAGCTTCAGATAATATTACGTCTGATCATCTAGATTACACTTCTATTCATATGATTGAAGCACGTCTAAATTGACAGAGCGATGAAAAATGTATATATAAACATAGAAATATTGTTAACAGTTGTTTGATGAAGCACGCAATGTGGTGCCCTAAGCAAGAAAGAACAAATAGACGGTTTCTCTTAAAATACAATAAGAACGCAATAGAGCACGAAAATAAAACATGCCGTTCTTAATAAGGAAGTTGTCTTTTGTTATTTGTTTTTTATGTCACTAATATCATAGTTATTTGTATCACCATTCGATTTTTTTCTTATTGAATATCCGTATAAAACTGTTATATGACATATTTTTACACATGACAACCAACAACCAAAATAAAATTATTTATCGTATGCATGATTGAACAAAAGGTGCGTAGGAAATTCTGATGCATCAGACTATATACATTTGACTTTAACATAATAACATACCGAGTGTTCCAAAAGTTTTGCAACATTTTGTATTTTGCATTTATCTCGACTTGAGAAAATGATAAAATCTTGATATTTTTCTTAAAAGATGCACCGTGAAAAGCTCTACAAAAACTGTATAAAGAAATCTCTATTAACTGGTTCTGATGGTTTTCCGATGCTTAATACGAACAACCTACATGGTGGCGCTATGTCCCATCGTATTGAGCATTGGAAAAATGTTTGAAAGACCTTTTTCGTTTTGCAATAGGNTGAAACGGCGAGTAAAAGAGGCATCAATTGAGGTTCATCTTTTTTTATAAGGATTAAAAACACTTCAAAATCTTTATCTTTCATGAAAAAAAGAGCTAAAAGAAATATTTTTGAAGTAGTAAATCGATAAAATGTCCATCTCCATCAGCATGTATATTTTCTCAAGCAGATTGCTATTAGGTTTAGTCTTCAAAATGATTAGTACAAAGTTTAGAATCGTTCTGAAATGTTGCATATACTTCCGTTCAGAAGCAGTCTCAATAGAAT